ACACTGGTCCTAATACTTCTCTTTTCCAGTAATTCTTTGACTTTATTAAAAAGGGTTCCTTGGTTCTAATAGAATGTTTGGAGGGGGTTGTGGGGGAAAGGAAGGAAGGGAGAAAGAAAGAAGAGAGAAAGGAAAAAGAGAGGTGTAAAATGAAGTAAAATATGTTCCCAGTGTCTAAACATTCTTTTTCAATTTTAGCTTTGAAGCTTTATGAAATTTTAGTATTAACAGCTTTTACCGCTCCTGATTCATCAAAAGCCTGGCTGCCCAGGGAACTGGGCCCTGCCCCTACAGAAGCAGATAGGGAATAAAAACAAAGAAGGAGGGGAGGATATTAACTGGGCAAGGGGAGAGGAGGCTTGCCTTTGTCTTCCTTAACCCTAACTAGGGGCAAATACTCAAGGCTGCTTTGCTCATTAGCAAGAGGTAAATTCTTTCCTAAGGCTTTCAAACAAAAGTGAGTAAGAGGAAGGGCAACAAAATAAAGAAAAACACTTAAGTAATACAACACGTAGCTTGTTTCAAATAGGAATGCTTTTTGTAGTCATGAATGATTTCAAATGAGACATAAAATGGAAAAAACATACTATCTGAACACACAAACCTTTTCTCTACAATTACTACTATTTCTTGGTAATAAACATGATTTTAACCTGTTCTTCTAAATCTTATGTGGTATAACCGTATCTTGTAAACCTCCATTACATTTCACTGAAAATGTTAATACTCTCCAAGAATAACTTGGCAATCCATTTATAAAATGGAGAGCCCCATGGGATAGCAAAAGGTTATTCTACCATACAGGAAATAAAATTAGTCTATTCTGACCCATATGCGCATCAACAAACTTAAATCATTTCTCACATAACTATTTTCTTAGGTTTTATAATAAATATAATTTACATGTCATAAAATTTTCAGCTTTTTTTTTTTTAATAAAAGTATCCGAACATTTACCAACTCTCTCAAGGCAGAGATTTTAATTCTGAGGGATTCCCTCGGTCTGACCTCTTGTCAGGGAGGATTTCCTTTGAGACAAGTAAATGTAACATGATCAAGTGGATCCTTGGGCTACCTCTTTAAAAACAAGGCAGGAAAAAGGGCAGCAATTTTTAAGGTATCATTCTGTCATCTCAAACATCTCACAAACATTTCTGTAGGCTCTCTTTCCAAAATAAGTAATCCCTTTGTTTATCATCTTTAAAAAAAAAAAAAAAATCACATGACTTTAGTATAAAGCTCTCCGTTTTCTGCAACTTTCTGGATCAAAGTTAATGTCTTAGTAAGATAGAAGCAGATATTTGCATAAACAACTCCACTTCTTTCATATTCTCTATCTTCCCTACTATCTAAAATTCTGCCTGGCATCCTTTACCTTTGACTGCTCTCCTTACGGACAGACGGACAGGGGTCTACAACCAAACATTTATACTTTCACTATCACTTTGTTTTTCACAAGGCATGAAACTCACTTGGTGAAATTCAATACATTGACATCTAATATTAAACAAGATTTTAAAAATTATGTATCTTCTCTTCTCTCTAATCCCAAGCTAAAACTCACGTTTTACAGACTTATGCCTCTAGCTGAATCAGGAAGTAATATTCCTTCTTAGAATGCATCAACTTCTTGATTGTATAAAACATGGTGTTTATAAAATGCAGGAATACTCTGCAGCCTCCAACACCCTGGTTGTAATTACTACCTTTACACATATTTCAGCCAGCAGTTTATTTGACACCCAAATTCATCACTGCTGAAAAATCAGAAAACATTCTGTTCATTTTGAATTTTTATTTTCCTTCATCCTAAAGACCTCTGCAAGGAACTGCAACAATGCTGGAGAAAGGATATGCTTATGGCCCAGGAGGAGAAAGATTCATGAAGAATCAGGAAATACCAGGCAGCCCAGCTTCAGCCACAAGTATCAGCATCTCTAACAACCCAATGTTTTTAAAAGGTGATTCCCAACCACTTTTTAAACTTCAACTCCATCTGCTTTCCACCCAAGATGTCTCAGAGGGTAAAAGTATCTTTGCCAATATGTAAGCTCTGCCTTCCATTCACTTGATCTGTACTTAGAACCTGCATAAGCCTGGAAAGGTATGCAGCAGCTTAAAGAGAAACTCCTCAAATGCAAACAAATAACCTTCAGGCACACTAAGTCCAAACCAGTGGAGTTTTATAAAGTACATTCTTTTTTTTTTTTTTTTTTTAATGTTTATTTTTGAAGGAGAGAGAGAGAGCGCATGTGCAGAGAGAGGGGCAGAGAGAAAGGGAGACACAGAATCCAAAGCAGGCTCCTGGCTCTGAGCTGTCAGCACAGAGCCTGACACGGGGCTCAAACCCACAGACAGGGAGATCAGGATCTGAGCTGAAGTTGGATGCCCAACCGACTGAGCCAACCAGGTGCCCTTTTTAAAATTATTATTTTTTTAATGTTTTTGTATTTTTGAAGGAGAGAGAGAGAGCACACAAGCAGGGAGAGGGGCAGAGAGAAAGGGAGACTTATAAAGTACATTCTTAATGGGATTCCAGAGAACACACACTCTAGCAAAGGTGGAGCAGGCAAAACAGTTCTTTTAGCTTGTAGTTCAAAAAACTAAGCCATGGGTAACAAAAGCACACCAGCAATTTTTCCCCCTCCACGCACCCACATATACACACAGACACAAAGACAAGTGGATTGCAATGCCCCTCCTGGTCTCTCACTGTCACAGAGTTCTCATAAAAAGAACAATGAGAGAATATTCTGATGCCTTGAGGTAAGTTACAGTTGGCAAGAAAGGGGTTAAGTAGCACTACTTTTCTGGAAACTTTCCAATCCCCTAGCTCTGAATGCAATTCTACTCACTACCAGTGCTACACAATTTTTTTTTCTTTCTCTCTCTCTCTCTCTCTCTCTTTTTTTTAAACATTTCAGCCGGTTAAGAGTTAACACCAACACCTCAGAAAGAAAAAGAGAACTTGGTTCGGCTCCACCCTCTGTAAAGCAAATACCAAAAACTCTGAGCCAAATCCACCCAGCATACACAAGAGTCCATGGACATTCCAAAACACAGGTGAAAGAAAGTTAAGTTTCCTCAGGTATCTCAACTTCAATTCCCTTCACTTGTGAAACACGCAGGTATTAGGTAAAACAAAAGCACAAACAAAATTCTATTTAAGGACCTGAAAAACATTACAAGCCACAGAGTTCAATACATCAGCAGGAATAGCTAGAATGTGGGGGAGGAAGGTCAAACAGTACCCATGGAAACAAGAGCAAAACAACAATAACAGATATATGTATGTTTATAATAAAAAAGGATTATAAGCCCCAGAATTTAATTCTTAGAAGGAAAGCTCTCTAACTAGAGTGTCAGTTACTATCCTAAACAAACATAAGGAAATGTTTCTTTAATCACGAGGGGGAGGGTCCTCACTACCATTAATTCTACATTTCTGGAAAAACAGATGTTCACCAGATTAAAAAAATAAATTAAAAAAAAAAAAAAAAAAAAAAAAAAAAAAAAAGAAGGCAGTTACTGACAGCCCATAAGTCACTGGAAAGGACAGTCCAGAAGCACCTGCCTTGCTAGAAATAGGTAGGAAGAGATGAGTCACTATTTTAATTCTGCTTAGAACTCTCCACATCTCAATCCTCTAGGTCCCAAAGCAACATTTTCTTCCTGTTTCCATCATTTTATCAGTTTTCTTCCCAAATTTGTGGGTTTGGATCAGAATACTAAAGGTTGGGGATAAAGGAGCAAAGAGTCAGAATCCATTTGGTTACTAGAAAGAGATACCGTGGTGGAGGCATAATCACCTGGAAGAAAAGACTAATAACTACAATTACAACTAGCAAACGATTATTAAGATCCAAGACTATTTCCCTCTCTTGGATAGTGTCCCGTATCTTTCAAAGCTTTTACAGTAAAAAGCAAACAAATAGCTCCCTGGAGAGAGGAGTAAACAAGATTTAATGTGGGCAAAAGTAATGAAATATGATAGTGTTACATGAATATCAGTATTCTTTCTAACTCAGATTGGAAGTCACTGACACCTGGGGACAGCTATACTCTTTCTTGTACAGGTAGGAAAAGGGATGTCACTAGCCTGTCACACAGGAGGTGGCAGAAGAATTGAGATGGTTTTCATGGGAAACATAAAAAGCGATTCAATTACTCAAACTTCTTGGACTTGCAGCCTAACTTCCTCCCTATGAGGAAGGTTTATCACCATCCTAAATCAAGAAAGGCATCATCATGAGAGAAGTTCTAACCCTCTGAAAAGTGATAAGCAACAGGGCAAAGAGGCAGGTTCTCGGGATGGAGAAATACTGGGAAACAAATTAACGTCATGCCCAATGACCATAGGACCTGGGCAGGAACCCATTCCTGCAATCACAAGGACAAACGTCCAGGGAAGGTAGAAGCCAAGTCAGGTAACATTCCAGAGGGGAAGGATTATCAGGTGACACCGGGCTGAGGGCCCAGAGCCGGGGCGAGGAGGGAGGAAAGTTAGCAGGTGAAAGGGATCAATCTTGAGAAGGAAGTGACCTTTAAGAGAAGCAAATAAGAGGATACAAAAAAAAAAAGGGGGGGAGGGGTTGTGGAAGGGTAATAAATAATGGACCCAGAAAAACACAGAGGACAAGATAGAGAAGGCGTGTGCGGGTAACAGAGGAAGAAGAAAGGAATGAAGGCTGAGATGGAAGAGATGGGGCTAAGACCCGCCGGGCTATGGGGGCGAAGGGCAGAGCGTACGGGCTGAAGGGGTGAAGGAAGCCCCGAGGCTGCCGGGGCAAGAGCCGGGTGGGACTCCGGGGATTCCCGAGGTCCCGGAGGGGTAGGATGTCCGGCTGTGGAGCCCAGGACCGAGCAAACGGAGGAAGAGAGCCGCGGGGGCGGCTCCCTAGAGACGGGCGTACAGTCCATGGGGTCGGCTTGGGGGGGGTCTGTTGACCGGAGGACGGTTACCGGGCTAGGCTGAAGGAACCGGGTGGGAGGGAACTCACAAATTTCTTGGATTTGCCGCCGTCGCCGCCGCAGGCAGTTCGTCCGGGCTCCGGCCCTTCTTTTTGTCCCGGGTCCCGCGGCCGGGACCCTGGCCCCCGCCGAGCGGCTCCATGTCCAGGTTCGCGCTGGCAGATGACCCCCTCACGCCGTCCCCGCCGGGCAGTTCGCCGCGGCAGCTCCCCGACGCCCGCCGCCGGCCACAGAGCTCCCTCTCCTCAGCCCGCCGCCGCGCCCCGCCTCATTAGTATGCCGGGCTGCGCGCGCCTCATGAATATACAACGGCGACGCCTCGCTCCCGCCCGCCTGCCCCACTTCCGCCCGGACCAGCAGCTCCTACCAATGGGGGAAGTGAGAGGGTGGAGGGAAGGCGCGGAAGCAAACTACCTGCCTGGCGGACCTAACCATTCGGACTCACGTGGGGAAATGGTGGTGAGTGGGCGGTGCAACTCTGCGGCCTCGACAGGGAATAGCGCCACCTGGTGGTTGGAGCGGCGCAGGCCTCCCCGCTCCCACACTGCCCACGTGGCTGTAAAGCCTATACCCTCTCACACCCTAGACCAGGATCTTATCTAAACAAAAAATCAAATAAGAGATGTCATTTTGGCCGAAAATCCAGTGCGGGTATTTCAAGGATAATACAGTTTTTTATGTGTGCAACATCAGTGGAGCACATGAAAAAATTTGAAAGCGGCAGTTATTTATTGAAAGCTATGTGCCTGGAATAGAGAGTGGTCCAGAGCAAGTGCTAGACTGGAGTTAGATCACCTAGTTTTGAATCGCAGGTCTATTTCCCAGTGGTGTTTTTTATTCTGAAAAACTAGTTATTGCCAATAGGTGACTACTCAGGAATAATAGTTACCATTTACCATGCACTTGCTCTAAACCAGACACTATGCAAAACTCTCCGTGTTGTTCCTCACTGAATCCTGGCATTGCCATGTGACAGACTCCATTAGTCTCACCATTTTACAGATAGAAAATTTGGGACTTCTGAGAGTTAAAGTGACTTGCTCGAGGGCACATAAGTGATAAAAAAAAATTTTTTTTAATCCAGATTAGTCTGGGAAGTCCTATGTTTGACCAAGATATCCTACTGACAAAAACCAAACCTGAGTGAAAAGAGCAGGTGTTCTCGAAGAGTGTGTTCTTTGCTCATCCAGCTTCATTTCTCCCTCAGTAATCTCATCCATTCTCCCAGCTACATCTGTTCCTTCTGTGAAAAATGTGGCCCCCAGTAGGCCCTCAAAATATGGATGGAATTATCTCACCCACAGCTGACAAAAGATTTCAAATATATGTTCCTGGAGGGAACTCTGAGACCCCAGTGCTCAGTTTAGGGCATGGGATATTATTTTCTAAGCTAGAGCACCGACACAGGATCAAAGCATGGAAGGAATGATCCATCTATCACTCTTCTTTCTCATACCGCTGTCTACATCTGCTATACCATTTACCTCACTCTTTATTGGATTATGAACGTCAGGGAAGGGTCCACATTTGTGGCTACTACAGTATCTAGCATCATTCTTCACCAAGACAGTTAAGATAATGAGCAACCACTTGTCAGGCACCATGCTAAGCACTTAACGTTTTATCTCAGTGTATCTTCACCAACTAGCATTACCATTCCAAACATAAAGGTTCCAAAACATCAAGTCATCTTCTACTCCCTCTCTTAAGCTAGTAATTGCTCAGGTTTGTCTAACTCTTAACCAGAATGCTTTAAGAACTCCCTATATATGAGTAACATAATCCACGTAGAATTCATACACAGGGCCTAAGATAAGTGTTGAATGAATGTTAACTATGATTTTTATTATATACATCATGACCCCCATTTCTTCTCCTTTCATACATAGGCAGCTAGCAAGAATTAAGAATATTCCCAGGAAGGCAAAAAGTACAAAAAATACCAACTTGGTTTATTGGATAAAAACAGTGGTAAAATGGACATAAAGCCAAAAGTTAGAAAGAGACATTTTTACATCCTCCCCGGACTCAAAACCATATTTCCCATCATCTGGGGTTAAGATGTTAGAGAGCCAGAAACCCCTAAAATCCCTCACTCTTCACCTGCACTGAAAACAAGGCTTGCTGTAGGGGAAACCAAGAAAGGAGAAAGTCAGAGGCAACTTTACTCCCATCTAACATCTTCATCCCTGTAAGTCTCTGGGTTGGAGGGAAGCAGGAAAGGAATAAGGGGGCCAAAGTAGCTGGGAACAGCATCTAGGGCCCATTGCCCAAGATGTCCTAGGGGAAGTTATCCTTGTCCCCATCCAATCCCTAATAAGTACCATTGTCAGGCCTTGGGAAATACAGTAAAGGGGATAGTTGGTTCAAAAACCAGGTGTGGTCTCCAAACCCTCCTCCAGCACTGGTAAAGCCCTGAAAGTGACCGTCCAGGGCTGTGGGCGCCACATCTTTTCCCTCCTGCCCAAACAAGAGGTAAAAAGGAATTCCTTGTGATAGAGCAAGCCCAGCTGCTCTTAAATCTCCACGTCGCTTTCCTTGTCATTGTCATGGTCTCCATCATAGAACTCATTGGGTGCCTCTGGCCTGCAAAGCAAGGGAGAGAGGTCAGGGTCCTATTCCCCAAATTCTCATCTTCCCCCACACAGGCACCCTCTCTGGAGCAATGTCTTAGGCCCCTTTTGTCAAGGAACTACTCCTCTCCTGTTGGCAGAGACTGGTAGCGATCCATTCCATCCATTCTTGTAGTCAATAAACATTTACTGAGGGACTACTCTATGCCAGCCACCATCATAAGCCACAGCGATACAGTAGACAATAAGTTCAGTAAAATTTCTGCCTATCCTCAAAACACTCACCAAATAAACAAGACTGACAGTAACTAACAAAGTAAGTAAATAAAGATGATAATTTACCATGGTGGAAAGTGCTCTGAAAAAAAAAAAAAAAAGAAATAAAGGGATCTGAATGAGAGTGAAGGGGAGAAAAAGGGTAAACTTCAGGAAGAATTATTACAGACAGCTGTTCTAAGGTAAGACTTCAAATCCGAGAAGGAGCTAGCCAGACAAATATCTGTGGAAGCCCATTTTAAGCTCCAAGAAAACCAAGTACAGTGTTATCAGGTGGAGGGTGACTGATGTATTCCAGTAGGAGCACGGAGGCCAGGATAGTTGGGAGCAGTGTGCAGGGAGGAGAGTAGTTACAGACAAGACCATGGACATAGGCAAACACCAGCACACAGGGCTTTCTAAAGCCCTGGTCAAAGAATAGGGCGTTGTTCTAAGAGCAATGGAAAGGAGAGTGATGAAAGGGATGCGAAAGCAACTCAGTGCCCAGTAAGTACTCAATACCTGTTTCTTTCTTTTTGGAAAACTACTCTCTGAGAGAATATGAGTAACTGAAAACTGAATTACCTTGCCCACACTGATAACTGAGCAAGAAGGGAGAAAGTCGTCAAAGAGAAGCTGGAGAACAAAGTCAGGGAAAGCCCTATCTGCCTGGTAAACAATGTCTCAGTTACCTCTGAGTGCATAAGAGTTAAAGATGTGGGGTCAGAGACTCAGGCTTGACTCTCAGTCCTGATATTTAACTAGCTGTAGGACCTTTGGCAAATTACTTAACCTCTCTGAGCCTCAGATTCCTCCTCAGGTAATTTGAGGATAACCTTTTAGGGTTGTCTGATGACAGTAGAACGATGACATAAAGATACATATGTTTTAATATAAAGCACTTAGGATTGAGTCTGATGCTTAGCAAATCCACAAAAAGTAGTCACTCCTATTACAATTCTGCAAGTGCTATGCAAGCTGGAACTATAGGCATCAAAGAACAGGAACTCGGTGAGTGGTCTCACAGTGAGGTAGGGCTTAGGGCAGGAAGAGGCCTGAGGCTTCTGCTGGCTGTTGAGAGGGGGTAGTATTATACACAGACTAGGCCCAGACACCAGCCTAGAACCAGAGATGAAAAAGCCAAACTTTGCCAAAAGGAGAAACTTCAAAGCACATTTCTAAGAAAATCAATTCTAGAAGTCAAGCTTCAGAGACCTGGAGAAGTTGACAAGGAGGCGATGCATTCAAAAGGAATCCTTAGGCCAGAGGTTCTGATACCTCCTCAACCAGGAGTGGGAAGAAGAGGGTGTTCATGGAGGAGGAGTAGAGTGGTTCCAAAGGTCCAAGCAGTAAAGCCCAGATCTAAAGGAGAAATCTGAAAGCTGACCTCTAAGAGAAGCAGATTCTGGAAGGGACTGAGAAGGTCATCACACTCAGAGCCAGCTCGAACCTCTAACACTGCATGGGAGGTGCAGGTAACCAGCTGTGGTTATCCCTCAGTCAAGTAAGGATATCTGTTCTCCATTAAGTGCATCTGTTTCTACACTTCTTGTTTCTGCTGTCTTTTCCCTTCATTTTTCAGAAAAACCTATTCTGGGATTTAAAAAATTTTTTAAAAGCTCTAATCTCTTTTTTTCCCTAACTCAATGCACATGTAAATATTTTAATATGTATCTCAGAAAGATAAAGACTTAAAAAAAGACATAATATAATTATCACACCTGAAAAAAATGAACAGAGGAAAGATATCAAAGGGTCTTAGAGAGTATATAAGCAATGACCTGTAGAGCTCTGAACCTGAAGAAGCATGTAAAATGCTGGGAATATTATAAACTGTTACAGATTTTTTTGGAGGGCAATTTGGCAACAAATATAAAAAGTTTTAGTGCACACAGCCTACTGAAACAAGCATACAAAGACGTATATTTGTATAAGGGGGTGCATCACCATATTCTTTGTGATGGTAAAAAAAAAAAAGGGAAATAATGTAAATGCCATCAGTGGTACTTAGATTATGCTACACCCACACAATGCAATATTATACAGCTAATAAAATAATGAAGCAGATCGATACATAATCACATGGAAAGATATGTTAAAAAAAAAAGGTGTAAATTGTAGAGCAACTTGTATGGAATAATCCAACTTACATTTAAAAACAAAAGATGCACAAACTCTGAGAATGAGTGTGTAGGTGTTTGTGTTCATACATGTATGTTGAGTAGTATACTTATAATCTATTGAAAAAGATCTATCTGAAAAAATAGAAATCAAACTATTAACAGTGGTTACTTGTCAAACTGGTCTGGGACTGTGTGAATGCAAGCTTAACATATTTTGGTGTTGTTTAAAATTTTGACAATAAATTACTTATTTGTGGCATACCCACACACATACACACACACCAAGAGTGTGGAATTGCAACAGACCAAAAAGTAAGTACTAAAGGAGCTAAGCCAGAAGCAATCAAGCTAATGCCTTCCAATTTACTTTTTCCCTCTTAATTTCCCCCATATGCCTGTTGGAAGCCCCGGCTGTCAAATCACTGCCCCAGACCTGCTATAGTTCTCTTCAGGACCCCTCTCCTCTGCATCAGCCTCGTCAGTCCTGTCATAGGTCAGAAGGTCTGCAGGCACATCATGAATCTGGACGCTAGGTGCATGGTTCAGCATCTTCAAGTTTTCAAAGATTGTCTGGCGGATCTGGTCCAGGTACTGATTTGGGATTTGGAATAGAGAGTGAGTGATTCCCAGAGCACCCACACTTCTAGCTACCTTTCACCCATACCATCCTAGTTCTAATCCCTTTCTGAATCCTAGTTCAAGTACCCACCTGATAAATGTCCCTCCTCCCGACCCCAATTGCCTCTACTTGAACCCAGGCTGTCTCCTAGCTGATAAGAGTTATAGTGACAACTAAGAACTTTCCTCTCTTCTCTGGTTTCTCTGATTTCATCCTGGACCTCTCCTAGGCTCCCCCAACCCTTGTGTTCAGTTTCTCCAAGCTGCTGACCTGGCGTGAGTTCTGATTCTCGATGCGGGTGCTGACATCTGGATGGAGTGTGAAGTCCGGGGCAAAGTACTCGAAGTATTCTAAGCAGGGAAAGGGAGATCAGGAGAGAAGGCATGGCTTAGACAGAGACAGGCAGGTCCTGAGACTTCCCAACCTATCTCCTTCTCATCCAAACCCCCTGCAAAAGAGCTGTCCAATCTTTTCCCTGCTTAGGAGTTCAGTCTGCAGAGCTCCTAGAGTGTCAAATTTCCAACCTGTAATAATAATAAGAAAAAAATTCTGATCTGCCTTCAAACCAGGCTATTCAGGGGTCTTCTGAGAATGGCTTCCTGCTATGGGGTATCATGGGGTGGTCCTTACCACTATAGGGAAGCTCCTCACTAATGGCCTCTTCTACCAGCAGCGATGTTTCATATGTCCTGAAACCAAACAGCAGAGTGGGCTCAGCTGAGCAAGTGGGCTGAAGGGCCCACCTGGCCATCTCTCAGGGAGCCCCCAACTCACAGTGGACAAGGGGGAGGAAGAAAATCAGGGAGCATGCTCACCAGCAGCGGGCAACATTTCGGACAGTATAGCCACCACCACCTAGCACCAGAAGAGGGATATTGAAGCTCTTGACATATTCGACGCATTCCCTGTTAAAAGGAACCAGGGGAATAGCTGGAGGAAGTTCTCAAAAACTCAAAGTGTACATCTCTAGCTACTGCCTGGAAGGAGCACAAGGGAACTAGAAAATGTTCCATATCTTTTTTCTTTAATTTTTTTTTTTTAACATTTATTCATTTTTGAGAGACAGAGAGAGACAGAGCATGACTGGCGGAGGGGCAGAGAGAGAGGAAGACACAGAATCCAAAGCAGGCTCTGAGCTGGCCAGCACAGAGCCTAACCCAGGGGCTCAACCCTCACTTGACTGTGAGATCATGACTGGGGCGTTTCAAGCAGGACACTTAACTGACTGAGCCACCCCAGCGCCCTGAAAAGGTTCCATATCTTGATCTAGGTAATGAAATTCATTGATTTATACTCTTGAGATATGTGTAATGTATTGCATACATATTATATCTCAATAAAAATTTAAAAAACAAAGTGTACTCCCACCTCCATCCTGCTCAACACCCACCCTGACACCTCTACCTAGCACCATTATTTCTTTACACGTACTCATTGGTGTTGCCAATAGTCAGAACTCAATCATGTATCGCTTATTGGTCACCTTCTCCACCTAAACCCAGGCACTGCATCTGCTGCCTGGACGACACCAATGGCTTCCTAGGCTGGAGTCTTCTCCGCCACCTCCACCTTAAACCTCAACCCCTCACCCCCCAATCCTTCCTGCATTCAGCAGTCAGGTCAGCTTATTTTTTTAATTTTTTCTATGTTTATTTATTTTTGAGAGAGACAGAGACAGAGTGCTAGTTGGGGAGGGGCAGAGAGAGAGGGAGACACAGAATCCAAAGCAGACTCCAAGCTCTGAGCTGGCCAGAGCCTGAAGGAGGTGGGCTCCTCGAATCCTCACAAACCCGGGTGGGAGATCATGCCCTGGAGCCGGGTCGGGACGCTTAACCGACTGAGCCACCAGGCGCCCCAGAGCAGTCACTTTCAAACCTGAGTTGGATCATGTCACTTCCCTGTTTAAAATCTTCCAGCAGTTTCCCATCATATCTGAAATATAATCCAGACTCCTTACCATGAGGTAAGGGCTCTGTACAACCTTGCCACAACTGCCTTCGCAGGCCTCAAGCCAAACCACCTCCAGCTTGCTCCCTGTGTTCTTGCCTCACTGTTGTGACTTCATCTCCTCTGCTACACCAGCTCTTCCCTGTCTCAGTGCCTCTGCATGGGCCTTTCTCACTGCATAGGAGTGACTCTCCCTATTCTTCCTATGGCCCATTTGCCACCTACCCCCACTTTGTGTATCAAGGCCCAAAGCCACTTGAAAACCTGGGGGCAGGGAAGGAAGGCAAATCTCACCCATGCCCTCGAATGCTGAGGTTGAAGCAGCCTAGACGATCACAGCCCAGAGAGTCAGCTCCACACTGCAAAAAGCAAAACCCCAGGCAGCTGCAGTGAGATAACCGATCAGAACGTCCCAGATGTCCTTCACTTCCTTTCCCTGACCAACACTGGGGCTCTCCTCCTCCCTGCTTTCTTCCCCTAAGCCCAGGCAGAGCCCTCTTGAGGAGGCACTGACAGTATTACCTGGAGCACAATGCACGTGGGTTGGTAGAAGTCCACTACCTGGTTGATAACCGGCTGGAAAAGGTGCTTGTAACCTGGGAGAGGGCCAAAGATGGGCACCTGGCACCCCAAGGGGATGGGGAGACAGGGAACAAAAGGAAAAAGGGGGTTGAGAGAGCATGTAGCCCAGGAAAAGGGGCAACCCAAAGAACCAAATCACTGGTTCTGAACTTCTGAATGGGGTCCCAGACACCTTTGAGTGACTGATGAAAGCTAATGACCCTTTTCCCAAAAAAATGCACCTACACATAACATGTTGCATACAATTTCCGGGGGGTTCATGGTCCCTCTGAAGGCCATTCATCCTTAAGGACACCTGGCCCAATAGCAGACAATACCAGGCAGAAGAGGTTAATTCAAGGAGAGAAAGAAGAGGTCTAACGTGCAGGGAAAAGACTTCAATACTTACTCTGGTCATCAATGCCATCCCGCAAGGGCACATTTAGACAGTAGTAGCGGCCACTCTCTGCTCCAACTTCATACATGTCACCTATAGGGAAGTGGAGAGTAGGGGGTGGGAGCCATCCACAGAGGGCACTCACAACCCAGCTGCTTCAACCCCAACCCGTACCCTGAGGGCCTCTCACTACCTCTATGTCCTTCTACCACATACTTCCTAGAGCCACCCCACCTCTCGTGGCTTGCATTCATTCAACAAATAATATTTGTGGGCCTACTATGAGCCAACCTGTGTACTAGGCACAGGGGATCTAGTAGTAAAAAGAACTAAGAAATGAATGAAATCCCACCAAGCTTATATTCTTGGCAGGTGGGCACGATGAGGAGGGACACAGTAAACAAAACAAAACACCGCAATAAATACAAATAGCAGTGAGTGCTCTAAGAGAAGCAAGCACGAGGATGTGACAGAGTAATGGGGAAGGAGGGATTACTTTTAACTGTGGTGGTCAGGAGAGACTTCTCTGAGGAGAGGCCACCTGAGCCGAGACCTGAAGGTTGAGCAGGAGGCCATCACAGTGAAGAGCTGAAGGAGCAAAGGGGATGGTCATCCCTATTCCCATACCTGTGCCAGGAAAGAAGTAGTTTCCATATTTGTGGAAGGAGACTGTCATGACCCGGTCAGTGAGGTAGAAGGCTTCCTGAACTCCATCACCGTGGTGGATGTCAATATCAATGTAGAGCACCCGAGGGTGGTACCTGGGATGATAGCCAAGCCAGGGTCTGAGGTAGAATGGAACTCCAGCAAGAAAACCACCTAACCCACTCCTCCCAAAACAAGGTCTGGAATTAGGAAGAGTCTGCTTCAGCCCAAATCCGCTGAAACCTAATGCCATCCCTAAGGGCAACCCTGGGGCTCCAGCCTAGAGGCAGGGACAGGAGAGGGATGTGCAGAGAAGACTGAAATGTGAGCAGGCAGCAGGGAGTTTCCAGCAACACACAGAGGACGTAGTCTGAGCAAAGCATTATGAACTGTGGAGAAGCTAGTATGGGGGTGGAGGCCGGGGTCAGGGCCAGTGCCATCTGAGAGACCTCCTCACCCACAGGTCTCACAAGTCCCTCCAACTCCTCCCAGGCTACTTACTTGAGCAGCTCCAGGATGCCAATCACAATGTCATTGACATAGCAGAAGCCAGAGGCCTATAGTGAGACAGTGGTCTTACAAAGAGAGGAACGACTCCTCTACCCAGCTGCCCCCTACTGTCATCCTGACCACCTACCTAGGGCAGTCATTGTCTCCCCCATCATCTCCTCACTCACCTCAAATTTCTTGGCATGGTGCAGACCACCAGCCCAGTTAATGGCAATATCACAGATCTGAAAGACAAACACCCAACTCACAGTCCTCCTTGTCCATCCCCAAAGCTGGAAGCTCAGGCTCAGGGTTAAGGCCTTGAGTGAAAGGACCCATAGGAAAGGGAGAACAGGACTCAGGGCCATGGTCACCTTGTTGTTCAGCTGGGTTGCTCCTTGCAGAGACGCGCCTGTGTAACGGGAACAGAACTCAAAGAGCCCGGGAAACACTGGGCTGCAGGGAAGAGAAGCAAGTCAGAGCTCTTTATTTCCAACCAGGTCCTTCCTACACCTCTCGCCTAACTCCAAACCCCTCCAACCTCCATTCTTTAATAACCTTCTCCCCACACCCTATGCACCCAGGTTATGTGCAAATTTATTCAACGAATATTTTGGACCAAACCATGTACCAAGCCCTGTGCAAGTCACTGGATGGAAGTAAAAAAACATTTAACTCTGTCAGGGAGTTCGCATCCTGGCTGGGGAGAAAAGTAGGCAGCTTCTAGGTACTTAAGCAACACACCAAAAAGGAAATAAATTAAGAGAGAACATAAACTTTGTTATTCTTAAAAGATTCTTTTATGCATATCAGATTTTAACACAACATTCAATAATATTCTTTAGAATCACACATTTTTAAGAAAAAACTGTATTCCCATATACAGTAAGGATAAGGATAACCCACAGAAAGTAATAAGGATAAACTATAGAAAGTCTTTAACAAAGCGTGTGGTACCTAGTACTCCAGAAGTTGATGTTAATTATAATTATTACCTTCTTTTTTTTATAAAAAGGAGAGGCTTAAAACCAGATACAAAACATTATATATTATATGGCTCCATTTATATAACACTCTGGAAAAGGCAAAATATAGGGACAGACCTCAGATCAGTAGTTACCTGGACCTAAGCTGGAAAGAAGAGACTGACGGTAAGAGTATAAGAGCCCTCTGTGGAATAATAGAAATAATCTATACTTTGATACACACTGTTAAAACTCTCAGAATTATAAGCCTAAAAAGGGTGAGTTTTAGAGGCACATGGGTGGCTCAGTCAGTTAAGCATCTGCCTCTTGATTTCTGCTCAGGTCATGATCTCACAATTTGGGAGACCAAGCCCCACATCAGGCTCTATGCTGACAGCACAGAGACTGCCTGGGATTCTCTCTATTTGCCCCTCCCCTACTCTACCCAAAATAAATAAATAAATAAATTTTAAAAAGGGTTAATTTTACTGTATGCAAATTTACCTTCATAAACTTGACTTATAAAAAAGGAAAGGATTAAAAGACCCCTCCCTAGTTTTAGTTCTCAAAAAATAATCGTTCAGCTGATACATTTGACTACAAAAAAAAGAGGTGTAGGGAGTTTTATAATTTCTCAGAGGTTCTGGGAAGAATTAACAATTGATACCTAGAAAACTAAGCAAATTAAAAAACAATGTGATTATCGACTCCTGGAAAAACAAAAAGGTGTACAAATAGAAAAATTAAATCATACTATACTATCTGGCTCTCTAGTAAGTGAATTTTTCAAAGTTATAACGATGTAAACATAGAATACTTATTTAATAAAAATAGTGATATATTGTGAAGGTGGAAGGGAAGGGGAAGCCAGGGTGATGGTATGAGGAGACTAAATGCTCATTTCCCATACTAAGAGCTTAATAGAAAACACTTTAAGTTGTAAAGTGAAAAAATAGCAATACAAGCACATTACAACAGGCAGTATAATATGGTAGCACGATTTAAGAGACAAATTCTGGAGCCAGATTACCTAGGTTCAAACTTTGACTCTTCAACACTTGGTAATGATCACATTGGACAAGCTATTTAAAGTTTCTGGGCCTAAGGCGCCTTGGTGGCTCAGTCCATTAAGTACCCAACTCTTGATTTCATTTCAGTTCAGGTTCATGATCTCACACTCTCTGTCTCCCTCAATCTCTGCCCCTTCCCCACGCATGTAGGCTCTGGCTCTTTCCTCTCTAAACTAATTAATTATTAATTAAATTTAAATAAATAAAGTTTCTGTGCCTAAGTGTCCTCATCTGTAAAAAGGAGACAATAGCAGACCCTGGTTCACAGAGATTGATGAGATTAAATGAGCTACTGCCTGTGAAGCATTTAGGATAGTACACAAAATGCCCTGACACAAAGAGGGCATTACTTAAGTATTAGAGATTATTAGGAACAGTAGTAGATTAATATCAGTGCTTTGAAATCCAAAGGTAAATATCAGAAGAAATAGCTGAGGACCTGAAAGTGGCTGCCACTGGGGAGAGGGATTTTTTGGGTGGGAGGGATAGATCTGGGACTTTTTTTTTTTTTTTTCCATTAAAAGCTTTGCAGTATAATTGGGTTTTTTATAGTACATTAATTTGAAAGCCATCAAAATTAATTAATTAATTCCCAATTAATTAAAAGGGAAAATCCCTGATTCTCATCTGAAATACACACATAGGTGTGAGTGTAGCTTAAGTTTGACAGCACAACCGAGGCAGTGCAAAGGGCCCAGTGGTAGGTAGTATTCCCTAACTGCACAGAGAGCAGTTACAGAGCCCCAGCTGTGGCCTGAGGGTGACTGCATTCTGACACCTGTAAAGTTAGCTCAGAACCAACAGCAGCAGCAATAAAAAAAATACCAAGGAAGCTCCCAAGACAGCATGCGATCAAACACCAAAAGACGAGGGCAGTGTGTACAGGACAGAACTTTGTGCCTCGTGTGGTCAAGAAAGTCTTCATGGTATGAAACTTCATGGTGGTGTGAAGACCAGGAAGGCCTTGGAGAGGTTGAAAGAGGAGCAAAGGGCATTCCAGAAAGGAATCCAATGCAAGCAGGGACATGAGGGTAAGCCTGGGAAGGTGGTCAATGCCAGCCTAAGGACTTGGTTTCCATCTTCCAGCCCAGAGTGCTTCCACTGGCAACACCTTTCGGGGAACACTGAAGTGTCTGAAAACCTGGGCTTTGGATCTGAATCCTGCCACTTTCACTGACCAGTTTTGTGACTCGGGCTAGTTACGTAAATCTCCTCAAATTTGGTATCCTTATGCCTAACTTAAAAGGACTACAACACTCAATAAACACTCAATAAACAGTAGCTGTTGTAGGAGACTACAGATCAACAGCCTGGTTTCCTCAAGAAATAAATTCAAAGTAGAGAAGGAAACACTACAGATTAAAAGTCTTAAGAAATGTTATCAACCAAATACAATCAACTGCAAGAAAGAAAAGTTTAGGAGACAGTTGCAGAAATCTGAATACTGACTGCATATATGATGATATTGAGGAATTACTGCTAATTTTTTAGGAGCGATAATCACAATGTGTATGGGGGGGTTGTTTTCTTTTGTTTTTAATTTTTAGAGTTAGGAAGAGACAGCAGGAGTTGAGGCAGAGAGAGAATCTTAAGCAGCCTCCATGCTCAGTGAGGAGCCTGGCATGGGGCTTGATCCCAAGACCCTGGGATCATGACCTGAGCTAATAACCAGAGTTGGACACTCAACGGACTGAGCCACCCACACACTCAAGCATGTACAGTTCTTTTTTAAGAGTATCATTTGGAGATACACAATCAAGTATTTACATGTCGTTTCAAAAATGTTAGGTTTGCTTTAAAATGATCTGCGATGCAGATGAAGTAAGATTGGTCATTTGTTTATAAGTGTTGCAGGTGGTGATGGATATAGGGGAGTTTACAGTACTATTCTTTCGAAATGTTTGAAATTTTCCTAATAAAAAGTTTAAAAATAAATTGAGTAAATGGTAACTGTTATGACTATTACATTTTCATGAATATATACAAGAATGCAAGCAAGGATCATGGCTTATCTTTGTTATCCACTCCCTTCCCCAAAGGACCTAACTCTGAGTCTTCTTTGTATGAAAAGCTCAATGTAAACCTCTCTCAGGGTAAATCACTCTTACTTTTAAAACACTTTGATAATTTCTGTCTACTCTAAGGGTAAGAGCCTCAATTAATAATAGGGCTATTTAAAGGTTTAACCTTTAAATGCCTATAGGGCATTTAAAGGTTCTAAGCATCTCTTTAGCCTTGATTCCGATCACTCTTTCCTTCATAAAATGTGGTTGACCTTTTTTCTGTTTCTCAAATGAGTGGCATACCACACTCGCACAAACCCTCAGCGCAGATTGTCCCTGATACCCAATGACATTCCTACCTCACCTTGTGTCCTCCCAACCACCTTTCACCTAATTACTTCCTATTCTTTCTTCAGATCTCAGCTTAACCTCCGTTACTTCCCCTAGAAAGCCTCCACTGACAACCCCATACCCATGACAGGTAATTCTCCCAAGTATACACTCTCACAGTTGGCCATGTACCTCTCCTTCACAGGACTTAGCACAGGGCCTGGCCTAGGGCAAACAGCCAATAAATATTTGTTGAAAAAAACCAAATGAATAAATGATGATTCACTGACAAACAGGACCCCTTTCATATGTTCCCACTGCTGCCAGGAGACCTCATTCAAGCATTCTCCTTGAAATGGCTGGCATTAAAAATCCCAGGCCTCCCCTCACCAGTCATCGCCCACGTTGAAGGCATTAAGGCTCTTGGTGAAGCCTTGCATATTGGTGGGGCTGACTCTCTGCAAGAAGTCGATGTAGTCCTCAGAGTGAAAGCGGCACATGTCATGTTGGGAGGCCTGGTACGGCTTGAAGACCTCGGGATGGAAAACAAGGTGAACGGAGGCAAGGTCAGTCCCATTCATTGGGCTGAGACTGCCCACACTGACCCCAGCCCCGCGGAGTGTCCAAAAGCACACACAGCAGTGGTCCTATCACTGCTGCAATCCGAGCTATTATATGAAACAAACATCAGTAAAGATGAGAGGCTCTGATTAGCCAGGTGGGGTACTATGATCAAACCTTCTCAAGACCAGTGGGCTTGCCTTCTTCCCACTTCCAGCCCAATCTTTCCCACCTTCTCAACCTTGAGCCCTGATCCACTGCACTTTTCCTTGGACCTCCTAGTTTTGATTCTTTCCATACTCATCTCCTCCCCTTGGCTCTGATGCCATCCTTTCTCTCCTTGGAGTTCTTAATTTTGGAGTTAAATAATACAGGATTTGTGACAACCTTCTAATTAAAAACCAAAGTGCCAAGGTGCTAAGCCAGAGATTTATTATCTTTTGAGGGGTTCACACAGTTCTTTAGAAACTAGGCTAGAACAAAAAGTTTCTCTCCCCAGAAAATGCACACAGGTACATACCAGCAAACAATTTCAAAGGATTCATAGAATCATGCACTAACATCACCTCAGTCTTTTCTATAACCATTTCACTTTTCTGTGCCTCAGCACAAACAGTGGGCAACACTCATTCATACTGTTGTCCAATTCCCCTTGTGACCCAAGAGGGCTAAACTTAACTGCTATAATCGCCTATCACAACTATAAAATCCAAGCTGGGGATTATCTGTCCCCATGTGCATATCTGGGAGATGGGAGCAATTAAGTAGAACTGTGTGGGGGTATTCTAAGTTCATAAGGAAATACCCAGGACATCTCTTCTCTTTCACACACCCATAGGTATTTGCGCACAGGGCTGCGGAGTCCTCCCTGGAGCTCTAGCTCCTTAGAGGCACAGAGAGGTTGGGGAGAAGGGGTGGGAACCGGTGGGAACACTTCACATCCAGATACAGTGATCCAGCCCCTCTCTCTTTCTTGAAGCCACAGCACTGCCCACACCCTAAGATGCTGAAAAGGAAAACATCTGCCTTTAAACCAGCCCCACTCCACCCTAACCATAGGCCAGAGGTTGGTCCACTTGAGGTCAAAGGTTAGCGATCTAAGATGAAGAAGTAATTCCCATTAAGTCGGTGGATCCACCCACCAACACTACGCACAAGGTGGGTGTTCCTGACTCCTGAAATAAGGGTAGGTCGCAACCCGTGCTTTCAGTGCAGCCCACCTATCCTAGGGCCGCCCAGCTCGCCCCCACCCTCCAAACCCAACAGCGATGTTGGGACTCACGATCATCTTCTTATAGAGACCGTAGTGCAGGACCAGACTATGGGTCAATGCCAAGCGATGGGGCTTCATAGGGTGCCCTGCCCCTGGGGGTGGGAAAAGAGTTCGTCAGTACCCTTCGCTGGAGTTGTAGTCCCCCCGCCTCGTAACTTCCGCGTCCCGAAACCCCTCGCGTACCACCTTGTTCCCTCACCGTAGTGGAAGTTGCCCACGTCAGGGTCGTAGAAATAGGCCACGGTCTTGGCCATGGTGCCGGCGGGACCAGGCCCCGTGCCTCCGCCGCCCGCCCGGCTGCCTGCCCCACCCCCGCTCGTACGTGCTGCGCAAGCACGCAGCCTGCCTCTGCGGAACCGGGAAATCCAGGCCCCGCCTCCCGACCACGCCCCCTGCGGAGTTCCTCCCCTCGCTTGGCTCGCCCTCCTAGGTTCTGGAGCGTGAGCTTCTGGACTTTGCGGAGGACGCGTAGCATCGGTCCTAGGATGCTAGGGTCATTTCCTTCCGGGCGGGGGCCAAATCCTCGGGAAGCTGAGCCATCTCGTCCAGCCACCTGCCCCAAACGGGGCTCAGGCCGTGGTCACCAGTCTAGGAGACTCCGGAGAACCAGCCACGCTGTCCCTCTTGGGTGGAGAAAGCCAGCTTTCCCCGGCCCACTGGGAAGATTCCTGACTATCCACTCGGCTGAGGCATCTGAGGGCCGGAGCAGCGCCCGGCGTGCGGGATAGAGCCGTGAAGAGCACTCTCGTCTGACTGCCTGTGCTCCCCGCCCGGACCCAGGCTCGGCGCCGCACACTCCCCCCGCGGAGGGGGGACGGCGCAGTCACGCGCGCACCACACTTGCGCTCACAAGCGCGCAAGGCTCTAGCTCTCCGCCCCGCACACCTGCGCTCCGCCTCCTGGTCCTGGGCTGGCGACTGGCGAAGGCATTTGGGAACCTAGGGAGGCTGCGGCAGCGCCCCCACCCCCATCTCCTTCCCCTTCCCACAGTCGGAGTTGTCCGAAGCCTGCCGCCGCTCCCAACCAGCCCGCATCCCTCTTCATCCTTCCCTCCCCCCGCCTGCCGCGGCACCGGTATCTGCAGCCGCAGCCCGGAGCCGGTGAGGCGGCGAAGGGGGGAGGGGGAGGAAGCAAGGGATGAGCGCCGGGAGGGCGTCGGGGGCCCTGAGCCGGACTAGGACGCCCCTGGAGCAGGAACCCGAGCTGGAGCCGGAGCCAGAACCAAACCACCGGTACCGAGTGGGCCAGGTGGCCTGGATGGGAGGAACCCAAAGGGGTGGCATTGTGCGGAATACCCGCAGGGGAGGGGGCTGCAGAGGCCTGGCTCAGGCCAGTGCGGAGGAGGTGCGGACGCTGACTCAGGCGCGATTCTTAAGCCGACCGCCTGAGAATTCCGTCCCATCTCGCTCTGCAGTGTCCTTGGGAGGGACGGAAGCGCAGGACAAGCTGGAAAGGGGAACGCTCTGGGCGTCGGGGAAGCAGGATCAGGGTCGCGGAAGAGGGCTTGCGCATCCGCCGTCTGGCACCCCGGCCCCGGACCAGCACCCCTGACACGGACAGCTCCTTGGTTGGGTAGGGGGGTGGGGCCGGACCTCCGAGGCTTGTCAGTTTCGGATCCTGAGGACCGAATTCCTATCCCTCCCCCAGTCCCTAGCTGCAGCCCCCTAACCCCAGGAGGCGCCCTGGCCCGCGCTCGCCCCCCAGGGCCTCATGTCGGAACCACAGCCTGACCTGGAACCGCCCCAACATGGGCTGTACATGCTCTTCCTGCTTGTGCTGGTCTTCTTCCTCATGGGCCTCGTAGGCTTCATGATCTGCCACGTGCTCAAGAAGAAGGGCTACCGCTGCCGCACGTCGAGGGGCTCGGAGCCTGACGATGCCCAGCTCCAGCCCCGTGAGTGAGGAGCCTAGAACCTGGCTCAGTCACCTTTCTCCCATACCCTTCACCCCACACCTCCTTCTGCCTTCCTGGCCAAGAGACCCAGGCCAAACCCTTACCATGCCTTCAGGGAGGCTTAATGATGCTTTCTTGAGTCTGCAAGTGGGATGACACCATCCTGAAAGCAAGGCTAGAAAAGGCAGGATGGGTGGGAAGGGCTCACTGTTGGTAGTCTTGGGCTCCCACTTACGTTTCCCATCTTTACTGCCCTGACCCCTGAAATGCTAACATGCAGCATGATGGCAAACAAAAGGATAGATCTTGAGCAATAAGCCACAGAAGCCACCAGGTAATGTCCACGCAAAGCTGACTCATTTCCTGCTTCCTTGCCAACCTCTCATGCTTCAGCTGAGGACGATGACATGAATGAGGACACAGTAGAGAGGATTGTTCGCTGCATCATCCAAAATGAAGGTGGGTGTAGTCTGGCCCTTTGCTCTCCCTGCCCCGCA